TAAGGGAAACAAATTCTTTCATGTACTCGTGAATAAGCACGGGTATAATAGGTTATAATAGGTTTACTTGTTGACTTTTGAGTATTCTTTGACAGATCGAACGAAGGCGCTCTCTTCTGTCAGATCGATTTTTCCTTCCGCTATCTCGCTCCAATTTATTTCAGATTGTGCCGAATGCAACACGTAGCGTTTCAATGACTTCTAATTTTTAATTGTTTACGTGGAATTTCTTTAGGTTTTTTTTTTTTTTTTTTGATAAACAATTCTAAACTCATTTCTTAGACGAAGAACGGATTCGTTCGTTTTTTCCCTTGGGTTTGTCACTTAACCTCCATTTCGAATTTGCGTTGAATTGCATTGGAATTGTTCATCGAATAATAGGGAATGAGGTGTCATATCACAAATTGATAATCTTTATAGCATGTTTCTGCGTTTGTAATGCGCAAAAAACAAAGACTTTTGTACTTTTGCAGTTCTGATGCGTTGCTGTCAGTACCAATGATAAATTGAAGCAACGTTGAGTGCGATCTGTATGTGTAGATAAAAGTATAAGCTTCACAATGTGGTCCTTCTTCTCGAGAGATCCTGCCAAGGATTTCCCATACGACATTGGAGAGCCTATTTCTGGTTTGGATAACAAAAGCATTTGGACAATACATAGGGCTAAAAGAAAGGTAATTCAGTTGTATGTAAGAATGACACTAGAGAAGCACTAAAAGGCTAATCTATAATGTGCTCTTAGCTTTCTATTTCTTGCTTTTTATCTCTTCCTCTCTTTGCAACTATTTTATCGACTTAGTTTCTTGCTTCTTCCAAAATTTGTCAACTTTAAAGTCTAATCTATAATATGTTCTTTGCTGTCTATTTTTTTACTTCTTACTATTTTTTATCTTTTGCCTTTTTGCCTCTCATTCATGTTCTTCATTTTCTATCGCCCGAGATAAAAGTTGATGGAACTTTGAAAAAGACAAAACATGTTAATGAAACGGTTACAAAGAAGCAAAACAGCAAAAGGTAAAAAGCAAGAAACAGAAAGTTAGGATTAGTCTTGAATGCAACACAATGAGTACTTTCTGTTTAGTGACACAAGTTGACACAAATGTCATTCTATCTTTCTTGACATTCAATAAGTAACAAAGGCAGAATGACATTTAAATCGATTTATGTCACCAAATGAAAAGTGTCCAATGTCTTATTTTGTCATTCTGTAATTTATAAAAGGTGACAAATTAATTATGTGGCAAGAGTCAATCTTTCTTCTAATTTATCTGTGAAAATATTATTTTTATCCTCACAAGATCTTCCGCAGGGCACTACAACGGGTGAAGATGTTTCAGTTTTTGTCTTTGATGTTAAAAATGGTGGGGAACAGCAACTGGATATTGCTCGTTCGGCTGTAAAAAGACTCAAGACACTCAGACATCCAAGCATACTTGCATATCTTGATAGTCTCGAAGTATGAATTGTGTTGGCTTATGATAATGATATATTCTTTGTGTAAAAATGTAATTTATGTTTTGTTACTTCAGACTGACAAAATGGTTTACTTAGCCACAGAGCGTGTAGAACCGTTATTTAATCGCTTGACACAAAAATGTAATTCGGAAAATGAGTCTAAGAAAGAATTGTACTACTCCTGGGGCATATTTCAAATCACAGTATGTATAAATGAAACATCATAGATCACGTCAAAGAATTTTAAGCGACACATGGAAAAGATCTATAATACATGTTACTTCGATTTGATGGCAGAGGGCACTTAACTTCTTAAATAACGACGGAAATTTACGGCACAATAATGTCAATCTGTGGACAGTGTTTGTTAATGAAGAGAGCGGTGAATGGAAACTCGGTGGGGTTGAATACATGACAGCTGTGGACATGCCATACAATTTCTTACCTTCTAATTTCCAAGTGTATCAACCACCAGAGGCTAAAGAAAGTTCAAAGCCCGCAACTAAATGGTAAATGATTATATATTTTATCTACATTTAATAATGGATGCTTTTCAGCAAAGGACACAGATGATACAGTGTAACACAGTGAATCATTACGTCTTCATTGTTTGCCAATGTTAAACAAAGATAAAATTATGTTACAATGTGTCTCTTGCTGGAAAGCATCGAATATAATGGTAGATGTAGTAGATACAATTGAAACGATATATATACAATATAGTAGTAGTTTACAAACATTTAAATTTAATATTCATAATCTAAAACTAATAAATAAATAAAAAATAGTTCAGTTGACATGTGGGGACTTGGTTGTTTGATATGGGAAACATACAATGGCACCCTCAACTCCACTTCGCAACTTAAAATTACAGGTCAAGTAAGTTGTCTGCTTGTTTCACATTACATCTTTTTATCGAACTGTAATCTCCTACACATCTTTATGCATGTATACCTTTTATTTATTTGTTGAAGATTCCGAAGCAAATAACGACAGTATATCGAGAATTAACGGGAGCTAATCCAGAAGGAAGACCAAATCCCGCAGATGTGATAGCGCGTTGTCGCAGTAACGGCGGTTTTTTTAAGAACAATCTTGTTGATGCCCTTTTATTTTTAGAGGAGATCCAGATGAAGGAAAGAGGAGAGAAAGGACGATTCTTCTCGCAGTTGGCGACACAATTGGATTCGTTTCCCGATGGCGTTGGCAGGTACAAGATTCTGCCGCAATTACTGGCTGCTTTTGAATTTGGAGATGCTGGAAGTGCCGTATTACCGCCGTTACTGCAACTGGGTTCTCAATTACCAGACGTCGAGTATCAGCGTCGAGTAGTGCCCTGTGTCGTTAAATTATTTGCATCGAATGACAGAGCGACGAGATTACGATTGCTGCAACAATTGGACCGATTCGTCGACCACTTGCAATCAGCTACCGTTAATGAAGCCATTTTTCCTCAGGTAAAAAAAGTTTCAACAAAAATTGAATATTATATTTTATTAATTGTAATTACATTATAATAAAAATACTGTTGTAATTTTATATCTTTAATAATATTATAAAATTTATAAAGATAGTGCATATTGAATTTAAGAAATTTAAGTATCTTGTATGATATAATGTTGTATTATTTTTTAAATAAAAACTAAAATTATTTTGTATATTAAATATGTATTTTTTGCAGGTAGCAAGGGGTTTCCTCGATACAAACCCGGCAATCAGGGAAGAAACGATAAGATCGGTCGTACATTTAGCACCAAAGTTAGATTATAATAATCTTAATGTCGAGACTTTAAGATACTTTGCGAAACTTCAGTCGAAAGACGAACAAGGCGGTATTCGCACAAATACCACAGTTTGCCTTGGAAAAATTGCTCAACATCTTCACCCTCAGATAAGGCAGAAGGTACCGTCAATCCTTATTTTATTTTAACACAATATTTTTTTATTTTTTAACAGACATCTGCTTCTTTCTTAAATTTTTTTAGATTTTTATTAATCAAGACAGACTCTTTACATATATTTTAAATATTAATAAGAAATAATAAAACAATTTATAATTAATAAAATAGTACAATTCATAATATGTTTATAAAATATTATTAAATTAGTTGATAAAAATAATTTTAGGTATTAATTGGCGCGTTTATTCGTGGAACTCGCGATTCTTTTCCTCCGGCCAGAATTGCGAGTATACTAGCTCTAGCTGCGACGCAGCAATATTTTCTTCTGCAAGAAGTCGCAAATCGCATTCTACCGGCTCTGTGTCCGCTTACCACGGATGTGGACAAAGGTGTACGAGACAATGCGTTCCGTATCATTCGAGGTTTTTTATCAAAGCTTGAGACAGTCTCTGAAGATCCTGGTCTTCGCGAATCAATGGGTGAGTATTACATATAGCACTAGGATTTCATATTTATTTTATTCTTTGAGAACACTTTGAAGAAAAAAAAATATTAAACTCTAATGATATTAAAATATTTGCAGAGGCGGATGTGAATACTGCAACACCTAGTCTCAGCAATGCCGCGGCGACATGGGCCGGATGGGCCGTTACGGCAGTCACAGCAAAATTCTATCGTAGTCAATCAGATACACCAAAATCATCAAATGCTCATAGCACATCTAGAATCTTGTTAAATAAACCTGCTTCCTTAGGTTAGCATTAATCCTCTTTACTTTCGTGGGCATTTTTTCACTCTATCTAATAACTCGTTTAGCAGTATATTTATTCCTTTACATATTAATATATTAACATTTTTTTATTTAATTATTTTAGAACAAGCTAGCAGCTCCCAGAGTAGCGCTAGCACTACTGCCACGACGAGCAGCGCGACAAGCATGACTTCCCTCGATCCTGATCACGAGCACGATACACAAAACACTCAAAATACAAATTCCGATTGCGATTGGGATTGTTGGGATGCTGATAATTGGGGAGATATGGAGCAGCAATCCACCGCTATACCATCGGTGCCATTGAATCCAGCCAGTAGTATATCACCGTCCGGCCACTCCCCTAAGGCTAATGAACAGTGGACCAGCCTTGAGGAAGAACCGGTTTGTTACATTTTATGATATTTTTGTGTTACAATCAAGGTTCTTCTTATATCCTATCAAACCTGAAATGTTAATATGAGCGATACGAACGTACGTAGTCACAAGTTTTAATAAGTCTATAATAGCAGAATTCTCTTCGATTAATCTAAGAGTTTATTTTTCGTTTAATAAAAATATTTCAATGCATTAACATTATTTAAATGATAAGCGTTTAAAGGAAATATAAAGAGTGAATATTAGGCTAAAAATATATAGTTTTATTATATAAAATTTAGATGATTAAACATTTAATATTAAATATTATATAACAGTAAAAATAATGTTGTCCAAACCAATTTTTGTCGAAGAGAAATTTATTCTAGATTAATTCAATATTACTGCAACAACGAATTTTCGAATCCTATATATATGCATATGGATACGCAAACATGACTAGATAACGAGAATAATTTGTTTGAATGATCGTGTAATTTGATATCGTTATAAAAAAAAACCATTTGGATTGTAGGAAGAAGAAACAACCCAAGGTGTTCAAGACAAAAATGATTCTTCCGAAGTTGGATGGGAAGATTCGGAGTTTCAGTCTCTCGAAGATGTTCAGCCCTTAGAGCAACCAAGTATATCTGATTTGATTTCTGAATATACAAATTTTATTTCATTACGTTTTCATTATATAGTATTGAGAAAATTTTCTTTTATTTAGGCGTTCCTAGTGGAAACAATAAATACGAAGAAGCCAGAAGGAAGAGAGAAGAACGCAAATTGGCCAGGCAAAGGCAGATGGAGGCGAAACGAGCAGTGAAATTACGAGCTAATCCAGCTGCGAAGAAGATTTAAGTGAATCAAATAAATGCGCCGTATGTTAATCATTCTATTGTACATTAAGTAAATTAAATATTACAAGTAATATGATGAAAGTATTTTCTGTAAATCTTATCTAATGTAAGAAAAAAGTTCATCCAAAAACGTTTTCTACAATATTATTTATTAACATTATATGCATGAAAAAATATACATATATATGTTAAGTAAAAGTTAATTATTTTATTTAACAATTATTTTTTTTACAACCTATACAGTCTATAATGCGACAGTATATTTTATATGTAGGATCCATTTTTCAAAATTGCACGAACATGCACGCGCGTGCGCGCAAACATTATTATGCAATACTTATGTTAATATTTATAAAAAAGAATATAAAATAATTAATTTTAGTTCATGCAAACGTTAGCGTACAAAAATTGTTTCTCTTATATATAAAAAAGCATATCAATTTCTTCGTAAATTTTTTTAGTAATGAGATTCTCTTCATAGAGAGAACAAATTACAAGGAATATCCAAATATCTCTTTGAACTTAATGTAATTCAGGTTGTAATATTTCAGTTTTTCAGTTTATATGTATGCTATACTGAACAAGTAAGTATTGTAATCAAGTGATCGCCGGTACAGATAAAGTCAAGTACAATGTATCAGTTACTATAAATGAGACTGTTCAGTGGCATTTTCACTATGGAAGCGCATATTGAGATAATTGGCATTGTTAGTTTCCCGCTTGAAGCCTATGTTCTCGTAAAATGGTACCAAACGATCTACGCAGTCCAAGGATAATTTATAACAACGAAAATAACGAGCTAATTGTACTACGATCGAAACTATTAATTTTCCCAATGATTTCCCTCTGTAATTGTTGTTAACCACTACGTCTTCCAGGCGTCCTCGCTATAAAAAATATATGCATATAGGATTATCCATTTCTAATTCTTGAAGAATTTGCAGAATTACATACCAAGCTACAATTATGAATAAATTTCTGCTCTACGACTAAAGACGCGCATGCTATCACTTTTCCAGAATTTACATCCTCGATGACGACAACATAGTAACCACTAGCGGTCTTCATACTATAGAATCTATCTAAATACAGAAAGAAGAAAGCATAATTAGTTTAATTTGATTATTTACAGAATCTAATTTTCAATTATAAAAACTTACTTAAGAATTGTTCCTTAGTGACATTTCCAACATCTGTCAATTGTGATAGAAGAACTAAAAAACCTACAAGATTTCATAAATAATTGAATTATTTGCAAGAAAGAGTCGAATAGGTCCTGTCCATAATGGAAAAAATATTAGAAATAATAATAAATATTAAATATATTAGACAAATAAGAAAATTAGAAATAGTGATTATATAAACATACAAATAAAATATGATATATAATTATAAATTATAATGCCTTATATCTTATTTATATTATGTAATGTATATTGTATGTTTAATCTCTATTCCCATTTATTGATTTGTCTAATATTTATTCCTAATATCTATCTCTTCATTGCAGGGCCTTGTATTATTGTATAAAATATAAAATATATTTATATAAAAGTTTAACTAGTAATATATATATATATATACGTCCAATTAAAAAAATTATTTTTACTCTCTCTCTCTCTCTCTCTCTCTTTCTGTACCTAGTAATGGAGACTGGATTAAAATGGATTGAAATTTTTTAGCACATTTTAAGTCTATTGAATCTAACTAAATAAGAAAAGATTTTTTTTTATTAAATTGAAAAACTGTATTTTCTATTCAGAATTTTGAATTGAACAGTATTCACAATGCACAGAAAAAGCTGATATTATTGTTAGATTGAAAGGCATAAAAATGTGCTTCATGCAATAAATCCTATAAATGAATAAAGATATATTCGGATTGAAAAGAATTTCTTTTAACGTTGCAAATGCATATTTCTGAAAATCTGAATCCATTTCAATCTATTCTCGTTTAATGGATATGACATCCAATTACCTTTGTCATAATCTGTACTCTTTAGCGGTCTGATAAGTAACCCAGCAATGTGCGATATCGGCAATCTATCCAATATAGTGGGATTGAAAAGATTAATTTCATCCTCTTCGACAGATTTTTCCTGCGTAATAAAATCAAACGAAGCGATACATTACATTTTCTTTTCCTTTTTCGTAACATTACTACGCAGCTTTATATATTTTCATGAATTGACTGTACGGCATCTCTCCTGTTATCAGCTCTTCGTAGCAATTTAATAACGCGGCAAAATTTTTCTTCTTAAATATACGGTTTTTTAATTGTTAAAAAACGATAAAATCGATGAATCCCATATTACATGCGAAATCACAGTCTCGCGAGGAAAAGATGCTAACGTATGGACACTGTACCTGCGATCTGCTCATGTTTTTCGCACTCTTCCGCGGCTCACAAGTTAACCTGTCACTTGTCAGTGCCTGCACTGTGTGACTGTGTGCCTGTACGTGCTTGTTCACTCATAGTAGAAGGATTCCACCATGCTGTTCACTGCCTGTCACTTCTCTCAGCTCCTCCAGCTCCTCTCGACATTGTTGTGTGTTGGTGTGCGAACACTGATTGCACCTGCTCATGAGCAGGGACATTTGATAAATTCTAGGGTTCTTTACATTATGCGTAACTGGTTTAATAATATTTATAGTTATAAAATTGACCAATCACAGTCGTTTCATTCTTTTGAGAAATAGCTATGATTGGCTATTTCAGTCATATTTTTGAAGTGGACAGTCTCGTGGATAGTTTATACTCTTTTGTTTATGGCAACGCCAACATGGCCGCGATCCTGCGAATACGAAAACGGAGTACAGTTACTTCGAAGTAAAGATTAATTAATATTTTGAATAACAATGATAAAAGTAATTATTTGTGGTAATAAGTAATATTGTATTAAGTTTACAAAAGAAAACTTAATGATTATATTATGTGAAAATATTTCTTAGAACGTTTGAATAGCGTAATCTACTCTTTGACTTGTTTGTTGTTTTTAACATAAGTACGTAATAATAATTATGTATGATAACGTAAATTAAAGCGAATATAAATGTAATATAATGCTCCTACAATTTATATGATACGCAGGTCAACGATGAGTTTCAATAAAAGAAAGATATTTGCGTCGGACACGTCCGATGAAGATGATAGTTTCAATCATCGACGTAGTTCTTTGAGAGTCAACTTGAGTTACAGCAAGAATCTAACAGATTCTGGCAATGGATCTCTCTGGAGAACAGAAATCGAGAATGACCAAAGAGGAGTGGACACGGCGCGAACTGTCAAAAGATTATCAAGAAAGAAAAGTATGTATGAGAAGAATCATCAATCTGATTTTGACAACAAAGATATGCGAGCCTTAAACGATACAGACAAGTGTGCTGTAGATAAAAATAGTGATAATTCCATTCAAATCAAGAAAAAAATACAGTTGAAATGTCTTACGATAAATCTAGAAGATATAAGTACCAAAGAATGCTACCTCGAAACAAATTGCAACCGTTTGAAGGATGCAATCTTATCCAAAACTAAACAGATGTTTGACAAAGAGAACGAGCTTTCTGTAAAAATTACGAAGGTATTAGGAAATAAGGAAAATGGTTTTACAAGCAGTATTTATAATTCAAATATGGGAAACAAAACAGTTATGCTGGACATGACTGATTTGAAAGAGACAGCAGCCAGCGAGCATCAACAATATACTCACAATGTGAACGATCAGAAAAGAGAGGATCAATACTCCAATATTGTTACTACACCATTGAATCATGACAGACGGAGAAGTCTCGAGAAAAGTAGTATAGATAAATCTAGATTAATTCAAAGACAATTGTTTGTTGAGGAGGATAAGCAGATAGAAGGGCAAACAAAATGTAGAATTATCGAAGATGTTGTTCTGAAGAAAAATTTTCCATTATTTTCTCTAAGACAAGCAACTCAAAGTAGCAGTCCTATATTAAGCGGCAGTAACAAAAAACTCAGTTTGATCAGGAGATCTAAGTTGCATTCTCAAAATAAGATTGAAAACCTGAACAACACATTTTCGACCATACACTCCGTTCAGAATTTCGATATAGAAACACCTATTGTTTGCTCTACTTTCATTGAGGATAATGCAACAGGTGACCAAGAAATTAACAGTGATGTAGACGCATCTCGTGCCACACATACAACGACTAAAGTAATATCAATGGAGATGACGGAAGTTCATGGAGGCATTCATACGAGTGAAAAGCGCATATCTGTACAAAATAGGAATTCATATATAAATAATTATAACGAAAACAAAGAAGAGAAATCTAAAAAAGAAAGTATAGAGCGAAGCAAAACAGGAATTAGTTCGAGACTAGAAGATGAATTTATAAACAAAATTACTGAAAGTGATGTACTGCAAGCACATGAGCACGACAGTAAAGCTAAATGTCAAAATGAGAAGTGTAATATGATGTCTCTGTCTAATAGCAATAACTCGATTCGATCATCTTTAAATGTAAACACTTCATTGGATGTAGTGACTGAAACTAGTAAAGCAAATGTTTGGAAATCAAGCAATCACAGAACGGACAATACCAATCAAAATTTCGAAGCTACTAATAATAAAGAATCAGTAGTTTTGAATAATCAACGCGAAAGCACAAATACGAATCGAACTTCGTTGCAAATGAATACATCGGTAGATTCTATGCGCAAAATATGGCGAAGGAGAAGCGATAAGAGTAATAAAGATCATTCTATGGATATGGAATATTCATCAACAGGAGATAAGGAAATAAATGATATAGACTCTTTAGAAAACATCAGTTTAACTGAGAGATTAAGAAACATCTCTATGAGAAATGAAAAGATTTCTCATAAAGCTAAATCGAAAGTTTTTAAAATGAAGGATGACAAAAGACGCTCGAGTAACAGTAGAGATAGCTACAGTTATGTGGAGGGAACTCCATATCCAATAAGCCGCTCAGTTTTGTTCAAATCACAATTAAAATATAAAACGCAACATTTGGATGATACAGTCATCTGTGGCAGCAAGTTAAATACATTAGAAAATGAAGAGAAAGGTGATGAAACTAAGTCATTTGCTTTGTAAGTATTCAAATGTACATACAGATAATGTTAAATTTATTATACTTGAAATATTATTGCTATATGATTTATACATACATAGTGTTATTTAATAAATTAATACTATTAATAATTAATATTTTTTATGTTATTAGACATTCAAAAGTTTCAAATGAAATGCATATGTTGACTGAAATACAAAAAACAACAGAAGCTAATTCAATTATTTTGGAAGATACACCTAATCAGAATCCTTTTATTATCCAAAATCAATTGACGGTCATCAAAGGTACGCCTGATGGAACAAAGTCTGAAACAGGCGAAAATATACTTGTACAAAACACGAAATGTACTCCAGTGAAAAAGAGAAGATTATTGCCACTTACCCAAATTTCTCAATATTCACTCAGTCCAATAGAAGAAAGAAAGTGTACACCTGAGGAATCGATGTCTACAAAACTAAACAAAAGGATGAAGAAAAGGCTTCCAAAAAGAAAATCAATATGTTCCAAGAATGTAAATAATATCAAGCACGATACTCCAAGCAAGCAAATGCAATCAGATAGTGATTGTGATATGCTTGAAAATAAGAAAAAAGAGAAGAAAACGCGAAAACCGAAAAAGGTTATTAGCAAGAAGATCTTTATCAAGAAATTTGCCGACGAAAAAGTGTTGAATATATTAGAAAGGAGTAGACAGAATAAAGCAAATAATTCAGTAGAAAGTAGAGATTCCTTAAATGATTTTGTAAAATGTCGTACAACATCTACTCAATGGAACAAATATAAGTCCCAAAAGATCATCATCGTAACAACTGGATTATCAAAAGAGTAATAATCATCATAACTTATCTTTTTTAAGCGTTTCTAATCCTTATTTTCAAATCAAAATAATTTTCGATGTTATTTCATATAAAAATTGTAACATTCTATATTTTGTGTATAGGGATAAAAGTTTGGTAAAAAGCATTGTCAAATCACTTGGCGCGGCAGAGTTGGAGTTAAATGTGTCAAAACGGACGACTCATGTTGTGAGTACGGGTGTGCGTACAGTGAATCTTCTCCGTGGTATAATAAGAGGCTGTTGGCTCGTTACTTTAGAGTGGGTTCTGAAATCCTTGGAAAACAACGGATGGCTGAACCCAGAAACGTTTGAGATGAAACATTTCTCTAAAGCTGTACAGGTAAGACACGCATACGTGATAAATGTAGAATACAATATAAATCTATTCGCATGTTATATAACATAGATATTCTTTTGCAGGAAAATCGAAAAGACAGGCAATTATTTGGACCCTCGTATATCCCAGAATTGTTTGGCGCATGTGGATTCATGTACGTCGAGCACAAAACAACCGTACCGTGTAATACGCTTAAGGAACTTATAAAGACAGCAGGCGGACATATTACCGACAATACCAAGCTTGCTAAAATTATTATTGGCACAAATGGCCTAAAGGAAACCTGGATTATAGATTCTATTACAACGGGTGAACTACAATTGACTAAGCTTTATCAATGGAATAACGCAAAATAGACTGAAGATTTCTATGACGATATTATACTATAAAAGACATTTATATACTAAATAATTATTTTTTGTCCAATAGTTTACAGAGATCATGTGAAAAATATTATTTATATTACACTTTCATAATTATAGTATTACTATTATTATTCATTTATTCATATATTATTGAGAAAAATTATATGAAAGAAGTTCATATATAAAAAATTAAGTTACTACATTATAGTATATTTGTAGCTCTTTACGTGTAAAGTATATAAATTAGGGATGCACCGGATATTCGGAAAATATTTGATATTATCTGATACTTTTTTACTATCTAATCGGATAACTGGGTATTATTAGTATCCCGTAATATATCTGGCTGAAATTTTATTTTAAAAGTTTGCATAGAGAATTTTATTTTGTCTAATTTTTTTTGAAAGTCATACCATATATACAATATTTGATAATTTTATGATCCGATGCATCCCTGATATAAATAATTTAATTTATAAAGCAATTGTATAAAGCGAGATTTCAGTTTATCAATGATGAGAATAAGCTATAATGTTATATAAATATTTTTTCTAGGTATATATAATATTTACTTTAATTTGTCACTACAAATCACATATATATAGATATATTTTCCAATAATTTATTTTATAATATATATACAAATAATATTAAAATATATATGTTATAATTACAGTTCTTTACATAATCTTACTCTAAACATCTAAATATCTATCATTCCCAATATACCTCATTTTACTGATGTGTAATGCACAATAAATCCAGTGAAAAATTCGTACTATTTATTATATATTTTTTATCAAGTTAAAAACAAATATTTACTGTTTTATCTTATCATATATTACAAGTGTTCGCATTCTACTTTTGAAAGACAGAATTACTGGGTGTAAAGTGACAAGTAAGTTCAATTAAAATTCGTTTGTGTTCCTTCTAGCATAACGAAACGCACACGTGGGTGTGTGCAAGTGTGTGTTTATGTGCGTGCCCATCGAAATGACACTTCGCGTACTACTGCGTGCAAGGAACGGATTCGGGTTAGGTTAAGTTATATTCGCGGAGTATTTTCGTGCGACTAGTAGACTAGCACGCATGGGAACGGGATGTGATGTGTCAAATTAACACGCGTTTGCTAATA